CGGTTGGTAGTGGTGCATGCCTTTAATCCCAGAACTTGGGAGGGAGAGGCAGGTGGATCTCTGTGATTTGGAGACCAGCCTGGTTTCTAAGTGGTACTTCCAGGACAGCCTCCAAAGCCACAGAGAAACCCTGTCTCAAAAAAACCAAACCAAACCAAACCAAAAAATCTATGCCCTTCAAAAATGGTCACCATACCTATGACCAATATTATCATCCTTAGAAAATATGGCATAATATCCCTTAATTAATAATGTGAAGTTTCCCAGCATCATTTATATGTGATGAACAACTTAAAATTGTATAAATTTAAGGTGGTGTTCTTATGTATGTACAAAATGGGAAATGATTAATATGAAATTGAAATGCAAGGTTTTCTTAAGTTGATAAGAAAATACTGTTACCATTCTTATAATATTCACTATTCATTTCCTATAGTCATTTTGTATAATCTTGTCTGATAGCCTTTTCCCTCATTATTTGTATGTACACAAAGACTCCTTTGCATGTCTGACTCTTAAACCACATTCCTAGAGAAGCTACTGAACATCAAAAGATATACTATGTCATATAAAGGGCAAAAATATCTGTCTTATTTTATGTGATGTATAATCATTCTTTACTAATTCAAACTATTTAGGTATGCTGCAACTGAGAGAAGACACCATTGAAAATTTGCTGGCTGCAGCATGTCTCTTACAGCTGACTCAGGTCATTGATGTCTGCTGCAATTTCCTCATAAAGCAGCTTCTAGTGTCAAACTGCCTAGGGATTCTCTCATTTGGAGACGCCCAGGGCTGTGTGGAGCTCCAGAATGTGGCACATAAGTATACCATGGTAAAATCTATTGTAATAATATACATGTTCTCTGATAAATCTGAAAGCCTATATAAATGTACGTAGTTTTCAGGTAACTTGTACATAATACATAATTTTAAAACTTTTGTTCAGTTGAATAATACTCAGATTTTTCAGTTTAGGACTAAAAGTTTTACTACATCTCTAAACTCCAGAAAATTAAAATAGTGATTATTATTAAATTGAACAACTCTCTATTTCCAATTGAATCTACATAATTAAAAATATTACCTGTATGAATTTTGCATAATTAGCAGTTTATTTTCTAAAATTGTACCAATTAGGATTACTGTTAAAATTATATATTACTCAATTTACAAAAGTGCTAGGGCTGTGGATACAGCTCAGTTTGTAGATTGTTTGCTTAGCATTCACAACATTGTGGGTGCAATTCACAGGTCTTTCATAAACTGGGCATGGTGGCTGATAACTGCTTTCTAGCCTGTATTCTAGAGGTAGGAGGATCAGGAGTTCTAGGTCATCTGCAACTCTGTAAAAAGTCTGAGGCCATCCTGGGATACATGAGCCCCTGTCTCAGGAAAGAGAGGAGAAGAAAACAAAATTGCAAATGACAACAGATCATCAAGATTAGTAACTCAAATAATTTTCTGGAATTGTTTTTATATATCAGAAAAATCTTGTATTGTTAAAAACAGTTTGTGGTTCACTCACTGAATTTTAAATATCCCTCTTAACCCTAGCAAAATATAATGAATCAAGTGAATATATCAGTAGATCCTACTAATTTAGAATTCACATGACATAAAACCATCTTTATTTAATTGGGTAACAATCAAATGAAATACAGAATATAAATGGTCAAGGAAAACTGGACAATTGATATCAAGTAAAATCTTTCCTATGGTTATTTTTTTGTTTGTTTTTTCGAGACAAGATTTCTCTGTGTAGCTTTGGAGCCTATTCTGGCACTTGCTCTGGAGACCAGGCTGGCCTCGAACTCCTATGGTTATTAGTACTTCTCAGATAAAAAGAAAATGAACCATCTAACCATTCTAAGGCAGTAGATTACAGGATAGATGGATCTCTTTGAAACTTGTCAAAAGATACATACATTGAATAAACTAAATTGCTTTTGTCATTGGAGTTCTTTAAAAAGAGGCAATTGCATACTAATGAATAATAGAGAACTAAATGTAAAAGTACTCAATAAAAGTAACATGCTGTAAGACAAATACATACATACATATGTAAATATACATAAACAATTTTCTAAAACAGCACAAAATGTGAATTGTCTAAGACTTTTTATAAACTTTCTTCTTCCTTATTTCCCCACCCCCATCAGGTCATTGCTCAGAATTAGAAGTTTCAGATATACTCTTGAAACAATACCAGTATGTGGAGAATCCCATTATCATAGATTGATGTTTTACAATGTGTTATTTAGTCATGCTATTTATATTCCTGTGTCCTAAATACAGATGCTGTATAATCTAAAAGACCAGCAGTTATGTAGTTCAAAGGTTAATCTTACCATAAAAGCCAACCATGAAAACTTCCTGTTAAATTGCTTAAATTCTTGAACTAAGTATTAACAGTTTCCTGTCTGGTATCTTACTCTTGCAGACAAAATACACTCTGATAAACAACTTGAATTATTTTTGTTGCTTAAAATGAACTGCCTTCCTCTTTGCATTGTGCTATCTAAACTGAGTGTTAAAGCAGGATGTCCATAAAAATGCAATAGAGACTTGTCCCTTAACACCATTTCCAATAATATTAGTATCTTTTCTGAATACAATAAAATTGGAAAATGTACTTTTTATAATTTTTACAATTCTGTACTGATAAGATTAGAATGCAAATAATTACTTTCTAAGAATAATGTTAGACAAATTAGATATTCAGTTATTGTGTCTACATAATATTTTCAACATATCTCTTCCATTCTAAGAGACTGTAGCTTTGCTGGACCTCATAATCTGTTAGCAGTACACCTTAAAGTCCATACAGAATTGAGACTATTGCCCAATTGTGTACTCAAATTTCTTTTAAGAGAATAATGTTACAAACACCTTACTTCCTTTGGATTTCCAACATAATAAAATTTCACAGTCTAAGACAATGGATGTCTACCTACAATTTGAAATTATATACTTTTCTATGATCCTGACCTAGACTATTCATGTGTATCATTTGCTGAAAGCAGCAACCACAGAAGTGGAAAGCAACTTCCTAAAATCTAACATAAAGTTTGAAAGAAGTGGATACTTGCAGATAAACAGTGATATTTGTTGCCTGGATCAGTTGTGATCTGTTGGAGCCAGTGACTTAATATCTTATAAAACTCCACTAAAGATTTCTGTAATGTACACCATTCCTTCTCCATGTGATGTTTTCTATGATGTAAAACAAATACACAGCTAAGTTCTTTGTCAGAGACTCACACTGACAAACACAGAAGGACAAACACAGATACATATGCAGGAACAGATTCAGACTCATAAAACAGACAGAAAAGAACACAAAGGGAGCATTAAGTAGAGAATTCAAATCTGGACTCACTCTTGGTTAAAGGAGTCCAAGGGGAAGTGTTTTTGTTTCTTTCCTTAATGAGACACTAATGCACTACTGGTGTCTTTGAATTAATCACTAATGCATGCAAATTATATTTGTGTTGGTAGAATAAAGAAAGCAGTTTGCCCACCCTCATTTTCATGATTTGCATTAATAATCAGCCTCAGATACATATCACAAGCTGGCACATAAAAGACTATCTCAATCATAAATACTCAGAATATAATTGATAGTACATTATTTTATAAAAGTTATATGAAATTAAGTACAGATCATAAATGGTTAACTAAAAACATAAAAGAATTTTGGGGGCAGTTGCATAAAAATGCATTAGTTTCAAAATAATTTCAAAATAAAATAATTTATGGGAGGATGGGAAGGAGAGGGAACTGGGATTAAAATGTAAAATAAGACTGTTTCTAATTTAAATAAAAATATTACATTGGGAAGAGAAAAATAAACATAAATGAATAATAAATAAATAAAACATAAAATAAAACAATTTAAAATGATTACTTGTCTACAATACAAAGTTCCACAGTGGCATGCACAGGTATTTGAACATAATACATAAGCTTTTTCGTTTGTTTGTTTTTCAAGACATGGTTTCTCTATGTAGCTTTTGAGCCCCACCTGGAACTTGCTCTGTAGACCAGTCTGGCCTCAAACTTACAGAGATCTACAATGTTATATTTATTATAATTATTATTATTAGTTCAAATTAGGAACAAGCTTGCTTCGCATGTCAATCCCTTCTCCCTCTCCCTCCCCTTTGCCCAACCCCCCACAAGCTGCTCCTCTTCACTCCCCAGGGAGGGTAGGGCCCTCCATGGGGGTTCCCCAAAGTCCACCACATCATCCTGGGCAGGGCCTAGGCTCTCCCCCATGTGTCCAGGCTGAGAAAGCATCCCTCCATGTAGGGTAGCCTCTCTTCTTACAGCAGGGATAAATACTGATCCACTACCAGGGGCCCTTAGAGAAAGCTGAGGCCTCCTCATTGACATCCACTTTCAGGGGACTGGATCAGTCCCATGCTGGCCTCCCAGACATTAGTCTGGGGTCCATGTGCTCCCCCTTGTTCAGGACAGCTGTTTCTGTGGCTTTCACCAGCCTGGTCTTAACCCCTTTGATCTTCATTCCTCCCTCTCTGCAACTGTGTTCCAGAGTTCAGTTCAGTGTTTATCTGTGGGTGTCTGCCTCTGCTTCCATCAGCCACTGGATGAAGGCTCTAGAATGAAATATAAAGTAGTCATCAGTCTCATTATAGGGAAAGGGCATTTAGGGTAGCCTCTCCACCATCGCCTAGATTGTCAGTTGGTGTGATCCTTGTAGAACTCTGGAAATCTCCCTAGTGCCAGACCTCTCCTCCGACCTATAATGACTCCCTTTGTTATGGTATCTGTCATCCTGCTCTCCTCTATTCTTCCCCCAACTCAACCTTTCTGCTCCCCCATTTCCTCCTCTCCACTCCTCTTCTCCACCTCTCATTCTGGCAGCTCCCTTTCCCCTACCCTCATGCTTGCAAGTAATTTTTAAGGTCCTGCCTCTTCCCCTTCTCCATGGTCCATTCATTTTTCTTTTAGAGTCCTTCTTGTTTCCTAGTTCCTTTGGTGATATGGATTGTAGGCTGGTAATCCTTCGCTGTATGTAATAGAGGCATTTTAAATAAACTTCTTTATGATCTACGTTGGCATTTGAGTAGGTTTTACACACTGAATTCTCTGTCTCTGGCTTCCAATTTTTATTTGAGGAGTAAACACAGCTTCAGAATTAGTACCTGGTAACAGTGACAGTTAATCATATATTTAATTTTTATAGTGTTTCACTTTAACATTTATATATTTTATCACCTAGAAAAGATAGTTGTTTAATTGAGCTAAATATATTATTAAACATTATTGTAGATGTTAATGTTTGAGTTCATAATTTTTGGTTCATTATATAGGATATCCAACAATGTGTACTGCATGTTCCTCATTAGAGTAAGTCTATATCTTCATAAGATCCCATAATGATTATTTAACACTTGCATCATTATTTATTAATGTGTGAAATGACATTGCAGTGGTTTGCTATAAATGGGAGGAATGCTAGTCAGAATAGTCTGCTACAGGAAGAACAACTATTTGCTTTAATCACGAAAGGGTTCATTGTCTAAATAGGCATACCCATTTGGGAATTTGTGGCATCAGTGATTCATTATGGAATTATCTGCCTTGTATTTTACTTTATGGGAATTTTGGTACTTAGTCTCCTGTTGCTAGTGAGTAAACTAGGAGTAGAGGTGATGTAAAGATTTACTTTAGTCGAAGCACCCAAATATTTAGAAACTGTTTTAAAATTTCCCAAGAATATCTGTTTTGTATGCAACTCAAATTGCAAAGTAAATAATTCTGTTTCAAGAGTACATTAGTTTATTGTACTTAAAGCTTGAGATATTCAACCTTATAAATCGTTGAAATAACCTGTTTTAATAATATGTATTTGAGAACTAGAGATTATGGTGATGCTATGGAGAAAAATTGAAACAGCTGCTTGTACTTTGATACCAGATGAAATATATGGCAATTACCAATGGAAACTTGAAATAAGGCACATGAAAATGTGTGTTTTGATCTTTGCTGAAGTTAACAAAATGAAATTCTATGGACTTTATTTTATTAAGGAGATTATCAACAACTGTATAAGAAGATGTTTCTTTTGTAGGAACATTTCATTGAAGTAGTAAAGAACCAAGAATTCCTTCTGCTCCCAGCTAATGAAATTGCAAAGCTTCTGTGTAGTGATGACATTAATGTGCCCAATGAAGAAACAATTTTCCATGCTCTCATGCATTGGGTAGGTCATGATGCTCAGAATAGGCAACGAGATCTGGCGAAGCTGCTTTCTTATATCAGACTGCCATTACTTTCACCACAGGTATGGAACTTTATTAAGTTAATGTAAATTAACTTCTAAATTATCACTATGCAGCAGACCAGTCCTTATTCATTCAATTCTTTCAGAGAATGTATAATAATGATGTGTACAGGATTTGCTTCCTAGAATGACATACTCTTTGATTAAAGGTATTAATAATGAAGAAAAAGAAACGTAGCTTAAAAGAATAACATACAGATGATCCCGAACAACATAATATCCCTTGGTTTCAGTTTCCTTCCTTGCCAAAAAGCATTATAACAAGCAAGGAAAATGACTGTGACTCCTTTTTTGTTTCCACTCACCTTCTAAGCAAAGCAGTAATAATCAAGATAGCAGCTTCATGTAGGGGGCTTTAGGAGGAGTCAGATACAGGACAATACCTACAATTATCTCCTGGAATTGAAAGCAAGCTCCTGTCCTTTCAGATGCACTCATTATAATGGTATTCTCATTACAAATACTGATCTAAAGGATTATGGCAAAGATGATTCTAAAAATAAATGTCCTTAGTTAAGACTCAGGATTGGCTCATATGTTGTTCAATTTAACATGAAATTTCACTTAAATGCAGTGCAGCCCCACTGTGTAAATGAACCATTTGCGTTAAGAACAATGAATCTGTTGTAAACTGATCCATATTAAATATGATTTTTACTTTACAGAAAACCACATTTCTCATATGAATTTCCTATGTTTTGAATCTGACTAATGTGCTCCAAATCATTTACTTTGTAATGAAAAAAGCTATTTTAAAATTAACACATTTTATAACATACTCCCCAATTAAATGTTAATATTAAAAAAGTGCAAATATATTGGTAAATTCTCTCTTAATATTCAGCTGTTACTTACTAATATGTGTTTAAATAAAACATTATTATAAAGAAAAGGAATAGTCACAATTTGTTTTCTAATGTCGCTGTTACTCCCATTCTAAATAAAAAGAAAAAATAATTGCCTGACATTATTTTTTATTTTTTAATTTGCATATAATGAAATCAAGGCTCTCCTAATGACATTTTGTATGCATCACATCGATTATACTTTATTGATATTCATCTTACTGTTACCTCCCATGTCACACTCTGGACTTTATTTTATTCCCCAACAAATAATCATGACATGAAAGTAGAAGGGACACACCCATGAGAACACACACATATAACTGAACATAGATTTTGTATATGAGTGGAAAAAAGTGGTATTTGTCTTTCTGACCAGCTGCGAATAGTCTTCAGTTCCCTCCATTATCTTGCAAATGGTATTTTCTAGTTTTCCTTTATGGCTGAATGAAACAGTATTGTCTTTCATCCAGTCAGCTGTTGGTGGTCATCTAGGTTTATTCCGTATCTTAGATTTTTTTGAATAGTGTTGCAACAATCATAGGTGAGCAGGTAACTGTCTACGTAGTATGTTGAATTAGATTGCTTTGGATATGTTACTGGGATGGTGTAGCTAAATTAATAGTAGCTCTATTCTATATTTTTGAGGAAACTTCATACTAATTTCCTTTTACTAGATTACTTTTGTGCCAGCAGTGTACAAGGGTTTCTTTTCACATCATCCAAATATGTTTATTGGAATATTTTAAATTTTGAATTTTAAATCTTTTTAAAAATTTTTCTTACAGATATATATTGATAATGCCCATTCTGAGTGCAGTGAGATGGAATGTCAGTGTGGTCTTATGTTGTATTTCCTTGGTGATTATGCATGTTGAAACTTGTATTCATATGTTGAGTAGCTATTTGTGTTTTATTAGTTTGAGAATTACCTGTTCTGTCAATTTAGTTGTCTTCTTATTGATTGGATAAATTTTGTATTTGGTATTTAAAGTTCTGAGTTTTTGTGGATTCTAGATATAAAGACTTGTTAAATACATAGTTGGCCAATAATTTTCTTGCATTCTGTATACATTTGTTACACTTGTTTTCTGTGAAGCTTTTTATTTATTTTATGTAATCTTGTTCTTCAATTCTTGCTTTTATTTGTTGAGCCTTGGGCTCCTTTTCATACTTGTCTTCCTAATGATTGTAACTTGAAGTGATTTTCTCTGTCTTCCTCTAACAGTTTCTCAGTTTCAGGTGTTCCGCTAAGGTCCTTGATCCATTTAGAATTGATTGGTGCAGGGTAAGAGGTAGAAATTAATACTCACTCTTCAGCATGTGGATGTCTCATTTTCCTCCCTCTATGTGCTAAAGAGAAAATCTTTGCTACTGATAGTTTTTATCAAAAGTTAGGCTGTAGGGATGTAGCTTCTCAGTTCTCTATGTTGTTCCATTACTCTACCACTACGTGCCCCTCTCTCCATGTCACTCTGTTTCTATCTTTGTCTCTGGATGTATGTGCATGTGTGTACACATTTTAGTGCCAGAATCATGCTTATATTGTTAAATGGTTCTTTACTGCTATTTGTTATTGAATGTTATGATGCCTTTAGCATTCTTGCTTAGCACTTCTTTGGCTATTTGTGATGTTTTGTGTTTCCATATAAGTTTTAGGATACTTCACTCTATTTCTATATATGATAAAAGCTATTGTCATTTTGTTTGGGATGGCACTGAATCTGTACATTGCTTTCATTAATGTATCCTTTCTTATACTATCAATTACCTTCTTCAGTCCTTTAGAGATTTCCTTGTAGAACACTTGTCCTCCTTGAATAGGTTTATCCCTAGGTATTTTACTTTTTGTAGCTCCTATGAATGGAATATTTTCCTCAGCACGATTGTTCTTGGTTTACAAAAATCTTTCTATATCAAATTTGTATCTTGCAACTTTTCTGAAAGTGTTCATCTCATCTAAGAATTTTTTAGTCAAGTCCGTAGAGCCTTTTAATATATAATTATAAGCATGTACAAATAATTGAAATTCTTCTTTTCCTGTTTGAATCATGATTGTATTTTTGCCTTATTGATTTACTTTATAGTTCAGTTTATTGAATGGGAATGAAAAGAGTGGCCATTCTTGTCTCCTCCCTGTTTTTAAAGTAAATGCTTTTATTCACTTACCATTTAAGAGCTGCCTAAATAATGCAGTTTCTTTCACAGTATTCTGCTTGCTTCATTGCTCTATATATGTATGTCTCTGTGTATGTGTGTGTCCACATGCACAACTTTTTGTGCCAGTATCATGCTTATTTTGTTACAATGGTTCTGTTGTACTGTATGAAATTGAACATTATGATATCTTAAGCAAGATATGGATTTTCCTTATATATTCTTCTTATGTTGAGGTGTGTTCCTTCTTATTAGAGTTTCTTCAGGGCTTTTTATCCTGAAGTAATGTTGAAGTTCGCTGAAGATTTTTGTTGTTGATTTTACATCTATTAAAATTATCCTGTGGCTTCTATACTTGAGTTTATTAATGTACTGTTTTACATTGGTTCAAATAGATTTGTTATACCTTTCTCACATACTTGAAATGAAACATTTGATAATATTGTGTGAAAGTTTTCCTATATTAATCAAGTTCATTTGCAAATATTTTATTGAGAATTTTTTGTCTAATTTCACTAGGGAAATTCATTTAAATTTTTCTATTTTTTGTGTGTTCCTCTCTGGCTTTAGGTTCAGAATAATGCTAGCTTCTTTTAGTATGCTTTTTGTAGAATTCCATCTTTTTCTGATTTATTGAATGGTCTGAGACATATTTATGGTAATTCTTCTTTAAAGATCTGAGAGAATTCATTAGTGAATCTTTCCAGTCTTGTCCTTTTCTTTGTTGGGATACTTTGATTATGATTGAATCATTTGGCTCACTATTTTTATTCTAATATTAGCTCTTCTCAATACCTCTGCATTTGATTTGAGTAATTTGTATCTGTCTAAGAATTTGTGCCTTATCATAGACTTTCCAGAAGCTTTCAAATAAATATTTTGAAAGTATTTTCTAATGATTGTCTGCATTTTATGTTTGTATTGTAGTGTTTGTTTTGTCACCTGAAATCTTGGTAAATTTGGCCCATATTTTTGTTTATTTCATTGATTCTTTTTAATGTTCTTCTAGACTCCATTCCATTATTTTCTGCAATAATTTTAGTTATTTATTTCTATCTAATAACATTGAGTTTAGTGTGTTATTAATATTTTTATGGTGTCAAAATACATTGTTAAGCTATTTGTACTTTCTGTTTTCTTAATGGAAGCATTAAAATCCTTTTCGAAATTTTCTATCACATAGTTTCTAATGTGCTCTTTTGTTAATTAAACTATGAAACTATGTATGTTCTTTGAGAATATATACATATGTAATAACATAATATCAATTGACTACTTGAGTCAATACAGTAGTAATATCTAAGGATAGCTATTCAAATATATATAATATATATGCATACACACATAGATATATAATGCTGTTCTCAAGATTCTAAAGAAAGAACAGATAGCTAAAATTCAGAATTTGTAGAAAATTTATATTGTGTGAAAATGAGAATCTAGGCAACTTACTGGATTCTATAATTTAGTGATGTATATAGTGGCCTCAGAACAGCAGCAAGATATTTTCTATGAACTTTTTAGAATCTAAGTTCTTAGGCCCTACTCCAAACAGCCAAATCACTGTCTCAAATAAAGCTTAATAATATATACCTTAACCCTCGCATCAAATTAATTTAGGCATTCGAAACCCAGGAAGCACTTGTGTATCCCATGCTCTTAAATTTATAGTTCTTTATGTAGATTTTGTATTTTCTGCAAGTATTGTTTAAACTTATCTGTATTAGAATGAAGGGATTTGTCATGCCTAATTATACCACTTTGGTTTTTCAACATTAATGATGCTTTATGCCTAAGATATATTTAATTTGAAAACGTCCAGATAATGTTAATAATAGGCAATGATACGGGTGTGTAGGCATTCTAAGACAAATTTATACATTCTGAGCAAACACTGTAGAAACAAAATATATGAAGATGATAAATCTATAAAGTATTTTTAGAGCAAAGTTGTGTAGCTTAGTCTTCTAACCTATTTCAAAGACTATTTTAAAGAAATGCCTACAGTTTTATCAGGCAAATCAAAATATTGATTCACCAGAGAATTACAAGTTAAAATAAAACAAAACTAAAGTTAACCAGAAAAAGAAGGAAATCTTACAGGAATATTATGGGATGAGATTAGCAATTTTAGTTCAGCAAATGTGTTTGCTATTTCTTTTGATGTACTATGCCAGTGTTGATTCAAAAGTTCAAAGAAATGAATAGAGTAGAATGCATGTCAACATTTGGAAATATGTCCATGAGTTTTCTTCAATTCTTTATCTTGGGAGAAATATTTTACCTATATTTTATCATTGTTATTTAAGATCTACATTGCATCAGGTAATGACAGTATCCCTCAATTTTGATGGTCTTGACTAGTAATTACTCACATGTATATTGGCTCACTTTAAAAAGCATTTCCTTGCTGGGCAGTGGTGGCACAAGCCATTAATCCCAACACTCGGGAGGTAGAGGCAGGGGGGGCTCTTTTTGTTTGAGCACAAACTGGGCTACAGAGCAAGTGCCAGGATAGGCTCCAAAGCTACACAGAGAAACCCAGTCCCAAAAAACCAAAAAGAAAAAGAAAAAAGAGCATTTGCTTACAGAATAATACTGCAATATATTGATAAAGATACAGTACAAATTCAGGAGATAATATCTTAACAGAGCATGTTTTCATGACATCTCTGATAGCTCACATACAAAAAACTAAAAACTGCTTGCGTTAGTCACAAGCAATAGATGAATATACTCAAATTTGTGTGGCTATTGCTAGTCTGTTTGATTACTTTGGGCAATTCATTTTACGTGTCTTTTTCCATACTTAGTCTTTCATGTTATAGATATAAACCATGCTCTTTCTGATGTTGGACTCCTGATATATGTGCCATGCATCATTACTTTCCAGTTACTTGCAGATCTGGAAAACAGTTCGATGTTTACTGATGATCTGGAGTGCCAGAAGCTATTAATGGAAGCTATGAAGTATCATCTCTTGCCTGAGAGAAGATCCATGCTGCAAAGCCCTCGTACAAAACCTAGAAAGTCAACGGTGGGGGCACTTTATGCTGTGGGAGGTATGGATGCTGCTAAAGGTAAAAGCAACACATTAATTAATTGGGGAAATATCTCCATTTGAAAAAGAAGAGATATTTCTAACAGCCTCCACGTTGTGAGGATGCTATTAAATCCTTTTATGTAAGTGTATCTGAAGCTGATTTTTGTAAAGAGAGTAGTTTGTGTGATTTGGTAACCTCATTTTCTTCTTCATCTTTTGGATCATAATGTGTTAATTACCCCTGACTTAATTCTTAATAGGGATTTTACTTTATGAACACAATTATTGGTTTGAACATTCATTTTCCCTGTCAAATATTTTAAGGAAAAATTTATCCATCTGTCTGTCCATTTGTCTGTCTGTCTGTCTGTCTGTTCTTGAAAGAGAAAAATACATACAAATGTCTTTTTGCACAAATATGATAGTGAAGTCTAGTTACTGCTCTCAACTCTGCTACATGCTTAAAGACTGATTATAAAAAACATACTGATGTTCTGACAAAAAGGTTGTCAATTCAAATTTGCAATAAAATCTTGATTTCATATAAATAATTATTCCATGAAATTAAAGAAGCAGTTTCTGAAGCCATTATCCTTCCACTTCTTGAATATATTTTTGTCTTTGCTATATGCATGAGACCTTTTATTCTTGCAATAGTTTTTGGCTAAAATAGCAAAGCAAATATTTATTCTTTATTATTTTATATTATACACAAGTGTGTTTTGTTTTCATACATGTTTGTGGATCATATGCATGTTTGGTGCCCATGTGTATAGTCAGCAAAAGACTAGAAGAGATATCAGATCCATTGGAATGGAGTTTTAGGTGGTGTTGAGCCTTTGTGTGGGTTTTGTGAATAGAACCTGGGTCCCGTGAGAGGGCAGCTGGTGCTCATTCCAGATGACTCATCTCTCCAAACTGAAGCAAGGATTTTATGACTAAGAGTTTATTGTGTTGAAAGTAAGAATACTGATAAATCATAAGCTGAAATTTTATTTGACAGATTGGCAAAAAGCCCTTTCCCTTGCAGGTTTATTTTAGTAACAACCTAATATTTCTATTAAAAATTGGAATAGAACAAAAGAAATATGCCAATTAATTACAAAGCTTTTTCATTTGATGAATTTTCTATTACTATAACAGAGTATCTGAGTCTAGGAAATATAAAATGATAAAAATCTACGAGCTGGAAGGACAAAAAGAAAAAAAATATCAAGGAATATATAGAGGGGCAACTTTGATTTTTATTAGTGTCCATTAATATTAATTGTTGAATACAATAGTTTCATTATGACACTTTCATATGTACATATAATGTAGGGTTTTTTATTATTCACTCCCTCTATTATCTTTTCTCATCCTCTGATTTTTGCTTGTTAAAAGCCTGCTCTCCTGACAACTAGCACAGTATTGTGAGAGCTAACTTAATCCATTGTGAGAGTAATTATTCATGATCTTATCAGTTTTCTAATGCAAACACCTTAAACATTACCATATTATAGACTAATTTTTAATATCCAAACTCTAGAAAATATATATCAAATTTAACACCCTTGAAAGTGAAATTGTTGATGGAATTATTTCTAAATTGTGGAACTACTTCATATAACTAATGTTCTTCAAAAAATAACAACTGCTATAAGATATCATAATTAATTTCAGGCTTGACAGTTTGGCATTTTATTGCTTTTATACAGTCTTGTATATTTTTTCTTTTTTCACTGTGGTTCAGCTTTTGGTGCCATAGATTAGGCTGACCTAAAAGGTAATGGAAGTCTTCCTGCATCAGCCTCCCAAGTGCTGGTATTACAGACATGAGCCACTGTACCTGACTTATTGCACCAAATAGAATAACATTAACAGTTTCTTGGTACTTAATTTAAAAGCTAAAGATACTATGTGTAAAACATAACTGCAATGATCATTCTTTGTGATTTTTTTCTTCCTGTGCTGGGAATCAGTCCAGGGCTTTTTCCAGGGTAGGCTAATGCCTTTCATTTTGAGGGTCTCTGAGTTCTTGGTATATAGTAATAAAACATAAAGCTCTATGGGAAGTTACCAACTATTAGGAAAATAATAAGAGCTAGTAGTTTTGAGTACCTTTGAAAACACTTCATAAGTCTGACAGTAATACTACAAGAGAGCTTCTATTACTTCTACTTTGGGGAATTTAAGATTAGATGATCTTGAAATGATATTAAATAAATTCTTACTAATAGTCTATGACCCTTTATATGTGTGGTCACTATTCTAGAAGGGATAGTAGCAAAACCCTCCCTTCTCTTTGTGATTTCAGGTTCTTGAAAAACCATAGTAAGAAATTATGAACAACAATAAAACAGAAAAGAATTAGGTACAAAAATCTAAGTAGTAAGCACAAAACGTAATTGCTAGCATCTGCTTAAAAAATCAGTATTGTATTGAAAAAGTGTTTATCAGTACAGTTTTTATTAACAGTTTCATGTTTGACTTTCCTTATAATATTTTATTTCAGTTACCTTAAAGATACCTTTTGAAATTTCACCTATTAATGTCTAGGAATATAGTACTCTGTTATTTAATTTTGCTTCTCTATCATGTAATGAATTAAAACTACAGTTAAATATAGATATCACACAAATGTCTGATGTTAACTTTAATGACTACAATGTATCATAAAAGGACCTATAATCTATAATCAAGATCTGAGTCAAATTTTAAAATTTGAATAGCTGAATTATCAGTGAAGGTAAGCAGGAACTGAGAAAGTCTTTAAAATTTAAAATACTTAACTACTAGTCAAAACTTTTGTGAGTGAAATAAGAAAGTTTTAAAAAAACCCTTACCTTCTGTAGCTAGCCTAATGCCCTGGAAAACTGACCCTGTACAAAGTAGGTATCTACATATTTCAAGCTCAATTCTTTTTGTGATAGCTAACAAAAGTAGCGTTGTGGAATTTCCTAACCTGATACCTTTCCATTTATCTCTACATATTTTCTTAATAATTAGTTTAGCTTAATTTTGAATTTTAATCTAAATTGACTATGATAATATTCACTTATTAAAAACAAAATAAAATAAATCAGAATAAAGAAAATAAATATTTGTGAAAATTGTAATAATTAAAAAACATAAAATCATTAACAGAAAACTGGATTTGAAATCATATAGGGATTTGTAAGTATTTCAGTTTTAACTGTGTCATCTATCTATGCATAGTGCAGAAAGAAGACCTAAGGGAAAATAATTAGCTATGGATAAAATTTGTGCTCAGCCTAAGTTTTACCTTTATAGGTGGCCCTAGACCCTAGTTTTACAACTGTCAGTGGCACTGTAAACATTAAGTTCATTTTCATTGTTTCAATGAAGTATTTTTCTCACAAATCTACAAGTAAAGAACATGTGGGAAGTGTTTTGGTTGTCCCTGTGTTAAACTATAGGAGTGACTACTAATTAAACCAACTTTCATTTTTTATTAGAAGCCTAGTCATTGTGAAAACTCAGCCTTAGCTGAAAACACTAAGCAGAAATCTTGAGTGGTCGACAAATTGAATTGTTTACACAAGTGAAAAATGCATCACAATAATATTTATAATTTACTATTGCACTAGTGAGATATATTAAAACTTTCACCAATGATGTATTTCTTCAGAATTTGGTAACTTTAACTGCAATTCTTCACATAAGTACCATGGAAAATTCTGAGAAACAATGCCAAAAACCTACATGAAAGAAAATTTTACTCCTAAAATTTTAGTCATCCATCTAATGTTTAACTCATTTTAAATAATTTGAAACACACACATCTATATACATACAACAAAGAAATTCTTAAATTATAGAAAAACACAAAGTTAAGTATTATAGTTACAAATTCAATTCACTGGCTCCAGTAAACTATAGGAGTGAATGCTAATTCAACAAACATTTTTCACAAATATGCAGTAATAGAATACAAAATATGGGTTTTTTATTATATATGATCTTTAAGACCAGTCTTGGTACCATCAGTAATATACTCATGATTTTTTTTAATTTGATATTTAATATTAGCATCAAAATCATATTTTGATGACATAATCGACATATACTATACTGTTTTTCTGCTCAGTGTTCCAGTTTAATTCTAAAATGGTGGAGTTATGACTTCTTGCCTTATATTTCAGTTAATATTGTCATTTGAGCTAGTTAATTTTATTTGAGCTCTTTTTCTTGGTGCTATGCTGTAAAATAAAATACATATGTGAAATAACCCAACTCAGATTTTTAACATGGTTTATTATTGCTAATTACACTTTTAACAGGTACTACTACCATTGAGAAGTATGACCTCAGAACCAACAATTGGATCCATATTGGCACTATGAGTGGTCGTAGACTTCAGTTTGGAGTTGCAGTTGTTGATAACAAACTTTATGTTGTGGGAGGAAGAGATGGCTTAAAAACTTTGAATACTGTGGAATGTTTTAATCCAGTTACCAAAACCTGGCTTGTGATGCCTCCTATGTCAACACATAGGCATGGGCTTGGTAAGATATTTAATGCTATATAATTTCTCAAAAATGTAGAGGAATGATTTTCATATTAGATCTAGCAGTACTTTATGAGGGGTTATTCCAAGTTCTGGGAAGGTTAAGCAAACCTGAACAAGCCATGAAAATCTTCTATTGTAACATGTTATATTTTAATTGTATATCCCTTCTCCCAACTTTTGAAAGGGTTCCATTTCATAGACGATAATTTTCAGAAAGAATATTTTATAGAGAATGTAAAAGGCAGCAGACCACTTTCTCTAAGCTCAGCTAAGAGTATAAAACATTTTTATTTTTTATTTTTATTTATTTATTTTAGAAATAATCTTATTTTACATATCAATCCCCCCTTTCCCTTGCCCTCCCTTCCTCCCATGTCCCCCACCGAGTATAAAACTTTTGACAATGGTAGTTATTATAAGTTCTAGTTTGAAAATTATGCCTCTGCCATAAGAAGCAAATTTGTATTCATTAAAAGATTTTGGAGACGAGTTCAGGATAAGCATATTTGCGAGTAGCACATTTGCTGAACAGAGCTCTAAAGTATAATTAAGGCAGCATATTCTAAGCTAGTATAAGAATGAGTAAGGGTGTGTAGAATAATGGGGAACTATAATTCTCCTGAATATTTGTCAAGGTATATTATTTTCTTCTTACTATGTTCCATGTGCTTTAAATATTATGATTTTTAAAAATGGAGTATTAGACTTATTTGTCTTACATAATACTCTTTTTTAAAGTTTATTTTTAAATTATGTGTAAGCAAATATGTCTATGTGTGGGTATATGAATATGCAAATAGTGCCTGGGAGATCAGAAAAAGGTGTCAATGTAATTCTTATGCATAAGAATGTCCTATAGAGAAATAAAAGCAAGCTTTTAAATATATAATCTAACAAATGTTAATAATCACGTATGTAAGGTGGATGTACAAAACACAATGAGAGTCAGATTAAGACATAAAAAAGAGGGCAATTCTAAGAGTTCTGAGAGGCAGAGTGGGATCATTCATAATTTTTAACAGAAACTAAATCCAGCTAAAACTCAAAAACAAATACCTAGTGAATTATTTTAATGAACCAAATAAGAATTAAAATAGTAATTGAAAAAAAACAATATTCCACATTAAGCCTAAAAGCAGTAGTTCATCTTATGTTAAGTATCCTGTCCTGCATGTGTTTGCATTTAAAAATGCTAAAATTATGCCAGAAAAAATGTTAATTTCTATTTTAATTTCTTTCCTAGCATTATACACTACTATGTCTGTTGATTTTTTAGTTATAAAAGAATGATATCTTCCCATGATATATACTGATGAGTAGAAGTTTTTCTATGATAATAAGGCCATATTTAGCTGCATATAAGAATCAATTAATTATTCACATGGGCAGAAAACTATTTCTGATCAAAATACAAAGTTTGTTTTTGATAGTTGGTTGCTTTGAAAGTGAAAATACATTTATTGCATGAAGCATACATCGGTGACCCCTCATACTATGCTATCCTTTAGGTGTAGCCACACTTGAAGGACCAATGTATGCTGTTGGAGGTCACGATGGATGGAGTTATCTAAATACTGTAGAAAGATGGGATCCTGATGGACGTCAATGGAATTACGTGGCCAGCATGTCAACTCCTAGAAGCACAGTTGGAGTTGTTGCATTAAATAACAAGTAAGCTTAAATAGACAAAGTCTTTTCTAGCAGACCATGTAATACAGAGTTTCTGTGTTATGATCATTAATCAATAAACATTCTACATTATCAGAACATTATTAACAATTTAAATGTCATTTGGTAGAAACTTCCCTTCATTATGATGGAAAATAGTTGTTGACAATAAATGCTTCCTTAAACATTTTATTGACTTTATTAAAAATTTTGGTTCAGGAAATAGAAATATGAGCATTTTTGTGAAGAATTTTGCATCTTAGCTTCATCTCAAAAGAGTCAGAATCTGCATTTTAGTGAGATCTTCAGGAAAAGTGTATACACCTGAATTTGAGAAACACTGTTGTAGATAATCGTTTCCAATTTACCCGACATAAATGGCATGTTTTCCATTGCTATTTACTCTAAATTTATAAAACAATTTGTCTATCTATATTTATGAATAACGTAAGTTTTTGTTCAGCAACCTCTCCTCTGAGAGTTTATAGTTCATTAGTTCTGGTTTTGCCCTTCCTGAAGATTTACGTTTTCCCAATCCCCTGAAAACAAGCTAATAACCTCTAATGATTCATCCAAGCATTGATTAATTACCACATATTTATAATGGTTTTCTTTATTTTTATTTTTCTTCTATCATTCAGATTTTAATGACATGATTTCACTCTTGCCTTTCCTCCCCACAAACACCCCCATATACATTTAATTTCTTTCTTTCAAATTTATGGCCTCTTTTTCATTAATTGTTTTCACATTAATATATATATATATATAT